AGGAAGGGCTTCTATCCCCAGCAGATCCACCCTGTAGCACGTGACAGCCCAAGTCTGGGTGCCAGCACGTCTGGCCCTGTCCGGTACAGAGCAAATGTGGCCTAGTCATGCATGCACGGGGCTCGGAGCCAGAAACCCTGGAGTGCTAATCCCAGCTCTGGCCCAGGTTTGGAAAAGTCCCGTCACCTCCTCGTGACTCGCTGCCCCCATTTGCACAGAGCAAAAAACAACAGATCTGCTCTTCCTCAGTGCTGAAAACCTTAACTGGGAGTAGCGCTTCGACAGAGGGCTGTCGTCACAGGCTTCCATCAAGGTGCGATGCGAGGTCTTGCCCAAACACAGCTCCGCATCTCTAACATTACACTGTGGCCCACCAGGTGGAAGGCAGCAGGAAGAGTTGGACGCAGAGATGGCGAGGAGAGAACGGCAAAGAAAGACCGGTTCCCAATCCACGGAGCCATCAAGACCTGCGGACGTTCTCACCTGGCTCCTTCCCCACCTCTACAGAAAGACGACCAGGGCTCACCCCTTCCTTGGCCACCAGCAGCTGCTTCTCTGCGTTCTGCTTCTTGATGTTGTAGTACTGGAGCTCCACCTCGTGTGTCAGCTGCAACCACTTCTGCAAGGCGTCAGGGGCGGACCACCTGCTGCGCGACTCGAGCTCCTTCTCCGCGTTCCTCAGCGCCATCCGAACCTGGGAGGGTAGCAGTCACAGCGGCAGCATTACAGGAGGCAGCAGGAAGGGACCTCTCATTCCCACAATGGCTCTTTCAGGGGCCAGCCGATTATGGCCCCAGCATGGGTAAGGCACCAGAAAGGGAACCCTACGTGTCCAGCAAACCTAGCCGTAGAGTCACAGAAAATGAGGGTGGAAGGGAGCTCAGGAGGTCACATCTAGTCCACCTCCCTGCCCCAAGCAGGACCAGCCCCAACTGCATCATCCCAGCCAAGGCTTTGTCTACCCGGGGCTTAAACACCTCCAAGGATGGCCACGCCCCCCCCTCTCCGGGCAGCCTGTTCCAGTGCTTCACCACCCTCCTCGTGAGAAAGTTTTTCCTAATATCCAACCTCAACTTGCCTTGCTGCAGCTTGAGCCCATTGCTCCTTGTCCTGTCATCTGCCCCCACTAAGAACAGTCCAGCTCCATCCTCTTTGCAGCTGCCCCACAGGGAGTTAGAGGCTGCTATTCAATCCCCACTCAGCCTTCTCCCTGACGATGGCTTGTGGGGAGTTTGGGAGGCAGCCCCCTGATACCCGGAGCCAAGGGGGACAACAGGGCAAACCAGGGGAGCAGGGCAGCACCATTTTCTTTTTCTTGCTAGATGATCCTGCCTAGGAAGAGCTGCTGTGCAAGCAGTGAGAGCGGCCGGCCGGACCTCCCCCTCCTTCCAGAGGCTGTGGCCCTTTTGGTTTCCTTTCCCCATCAGAAATCGGGAGGCTTTTGCCCCTTATTGCTTCAGCTGCCATCCAATCAAGCAGAGTGTTTAAATAGAGCAGATCTGGTCCATCTCGCCCAGTTATGCTAAGAACACAAGACCTGCCATTGACTCGGTCAGACCATAGGTCCACCTTGCCCGGTCTACTGTGGTGACAAAGCCTCAGAGAGCAGATGCTGGAAGGGAGTGGACTGGGTCTGACCAGGGTTTTTCCCCCTCTCACTTGCAGCCTCCAGCATTTAAGCATCCGTAGCATCACAGCAGACATCTCAGGGACACTGTCTCCAGCCCAGCCCACAGCCTCATCTTGTGAGGATCCTGGCAGGTCATTTTGGAATGAAAAAGGAGGGGAGGTTGAACCTGCTGAGGGCATCAAACCTTCATGATTTGCAAGCAGTGACTGAGGACTTGCACTCACATCCAGAGACTTTTCTCAGTGCTTTAACAAATGTTACGATCGCTCCAAGGCATTAGCCTTGCTTTACAAACAGTGAACCTGAGGCCGAGTGTGAAGCAACCGATTCAAAACAGCAGCGCCTCAGGAACATGACACCGGAGACCTCACCCCAGCACGGGTCTGTCCCCCAGTGATGGCCCTGCATATCACATGGGAAACGCGCGTGGTTTTACCCTGTGTAAGAACCAGTTTGAGGACTAAAAGGTATGCTTCTTTTTAAACATCAGCCTCAGACACAGAAACCATTGAGAAGTCTGGCTGCAAGGGACCTCCAGAGGATCCCATTCCAGCATGCTGCCCCATTTGCACTATAACCACTCAAGTTCACAGTATGAGCAGAACCTGCAATTGGGATGACATCTCCAATGTTAGCACACACGAGGCCTTCTGTTTTTTCGGGTCACTGTGACCTTGATGCAAAGCTGCAAGAGGTCAATGGGAATCCTTCCAGTGACTTGCCTAGGTTTTGAATAAGCCCATGCTAACAAGGTGTACACCTGCTTCCTGCCAGCCCAGCGCTAATAAGAAAGAAGCCTTTGTCCAGGATAGACAGCTGCACACGGGCCCAAGAATGTAAATGTTTAAAGGATCTCTCCACACGCCCAGATCCTTTTCCTTTTCCGTGTGAAATCACTCCATCGCATTTTAATTGCTTTTGGCTTGGGCTTTATTTCTCCTTCAAGTCATCATCAAGTTACGCTCGGGCCCTGGAAACTTCACTATTCCACCCCCGACCACATTTGCCTAACCTATCCAGGAAGCCGTCACCAGCCACGTGCTGGTTGCACCTTCCCACCATGCTGGGACTATCTGCACCCTGAATCATATTGTGTGTCATAATTGATCTAAACTGTTCTCGTAAAACAAAACCAGAACTATAATTCTTGTGAGGGACTAAATGCTCCTCTGAGACTTCAGCTCTATTGAACTGATCTCTTGTGATGCACTGGGCGCCGTCTCCTCTCATCCCTCTGGGCTCTCCTATCACACCCACCACGGTGGTGTCCGTGCTCTGGAGCTGCGAGGCTGGAGAAGGGTCGAGGTGTTCTCCGAGCGCTCATGGAATCAGAACTAGCTTATCTGGGAAATGCAAGGGGAGGGTTGAAGTGTAAAACAACAGCCAGGGGACTGGGACACACGGGAGAAGTGTGCTCTGGCAAGACCGAAGTGTGTGCTGGGTGGGATTTCTCAGATGAGTGGGTCAGCGGGAGAACACGGGGACAAAAGCCCCATCTCACCAAGGCAGGGCTGCCTCTGATCCCTAGCACTTCAGTACGTGTTTAAACCCCACCTATGCAAACCAGCAAGCAAGAACTGGTGCAAAAGGGAGCTCCCATTTCAGGACGTGCCGAGACACAAATGCATCTCAGGAATCTGGGTTGCGCACTCGGTGGGAGTGGCTGGTTAATCATACCGGTGGTCTCTAGCTCATCGGACGGTGGTTGTGTTACAGCACACAGTGAGGCTAGTGGATAAAACCATTACTCACGCTTTCAATGAATCCCCCACGGAGGCCCCTATAACAGAGTGGGTAAGTCATCACCAGCTTCTTGGATTCCAGTGACAATGCAAAGGAGAGGGGAAGGGGGGAAAATAGGAGCAACTCCACCTTTCCCTGGAAGCCAGCAGTAGGATTAGGTCAAGGGGCACAAGAGGAGGAGAGAAAGGTTGCATATACTTCCGAGACCAGCCATAAGGCCGGTAAGGCAGCTGGCACTCATACGCCCAGAAATGTCTGTGCGACTGCTTATGCTGCCTGGACGTATATTTTCACGTTGGCCTAAATGAAAAACTAGCATTTTGGAAATGGTGTGTGAGAGCCAGACTCGGGCTGAGGGACTGGAGACGGACAGCGGCTGGGTGGCACCAAATGACCCATAATGCAGGAGAAGATCACTGAGTCTTTCCTGAAACGTGGGTACATAAAATGCAGTGCACGTGAGAAGAAAGGGGCAAGCCCTGCAGTGCAGCCCCAGTGCAAAATGCTTTCGCAGAGAGCATCAGAGCCGTGGATCTAGTTTAGCGTCTGCCCTTTCGAGACAGCAGGGGCTGGCAGAATCGTGAGGGAAGCACATCCAGCCCTTCTGACCGCCACGTAGAGCAGCATGGAGGGACCCCGGGAAAGGGAACCAATATGGAAAAGCATAACCCAGAGGATAGGGAGACACTGGATCTGCTCCGTCTCCAAGGCAGACGGGGAAAGGAAAGGTATAGGAGTGTAGCTGGGCTTTGCCAGGAGAGGAAAGCAGTGACTACACAGCATAAGGCCATCCAAACCCCACCTCAGCCCCTTCTGCTTATATACGTGAGGCCAGATGCTACTCGGGCACCTGAGTGTGATCCTATCCACCCTCCTCGAGTCCTTGAAAGCCAGTTACTGCCAAAGGCATAAGGCATAAAGGCCCCTTTGTGCAACTCTGTCTTAAGGCCAGCAGAAGGTTCACTGCAAGAGTAAGTACATTAATGGCTTGCCAGGGGCTCGAGCAGGGCGGAGCAGGATAACGCTGGATCTGCGGGGTAGGATGCAGGCGCAGCACGAAGGAGTGGCATGCCTGGCCGAGGTCCCTACCTGCTCCAGCTCCTGCTCCGCGTACTTCTGTCTGCTCAGCTCATTCTCGGTGCCCTCGCGCAGCTCCCGGAGCCGGTGGGCCTCCTGCTTGGCGATGCTGATCTCGTCTTGCAGCTTCTGCTCCAGCGTCACTTTCTCCACCTCCACCGTGCGGTGTTCCTCCTGAGCCTTGTGCAGCCTAAGGCAAGGAGGAGACACAGGGAGTGAGGAGGGCCGACAGAGCTGGCGCGTGCTTAGCTGAAGGAGATGTCCCGTCCAGAGCAAAATCGCTGCATTCCAGCATGCCTAGGTACGCGCGCGAGCACGTACAACGCGCGGTCAAAGCCAGCTCTGCTTCTGTTTACGCTGAAAGCAAGGGAGTTACGCTGCCATAAATTCAGAGGGAGAGAAAATCTGACTATAGACTGTGGCGCTGAAACCACCCCCGTTAGGAAAAACTCTGGGGAAGCGTCACTGTGCATGGGAAGAAACTAAATAATCCACTTTTGTTTCTTGGCCATGTTTACTTTCTGACATCCTAGAAGGGCACAAGCCACGGGCTCGTTAAATAAGATGCAAATGTCTTTCATTCTTCTACTGATTCACAGAAATCTAGAACAGCCTGTCATTAATCAGTGCTAATCTCCTTCAAGGAGATAATGCCTTTGGTTTAACCAGCCTTGGAATATGCACGTGTGTATATGCAAGCGAGACATGCCTTCTTACTCCATTTCTCACTTTCTAACAACCGACTCGCTGTTAGGAAAGCCGCGATTTTGGAAAACACGTTCAGTTGTAGCCTCTGTCCCAGGGGTACATGTCATCGTGAAGACTGTGAAAAACCACAGAGCCAAAATACTGCCAGGAGGAGACCATACCACATGGAAAAGGCCTCTTGAATCAAGCAGAGATGAGCAGAAAAAGAACTAATGGCTGCACACTGAAATGAGAATATTAGAAATGTTTCTTGCCTCTGCAGCAACAGGATTTACCGCTGGCGCTGTTACAAGGGCAATGGTGGACTCTGTCTCAGGAGGCCTTGAGCTCCAGATGAAATGCTTTCCTAGAAGCCAGGCTTTAGCAAAAGGAACAGCTCTCAGGCCTGGGTCCTGCCAGAAATGGACTAAATGACCCATCTCTGGGCTGAAGCACAGAGATTCAGGGTAAGCCACCCTGCACCCCCAGTGCGTCAAGGGAGGGGTGCTCTCGACACACCCCATCCACCTGCCAATACAGCGGTGAAGCCTCTTTGGGGGTGTTGGTCTCGAGACCCGTCTCTGGTGTGACAGAGTGACTACAAGGGATACCCCTATGTGTGGCTTTACCACTCCGTTTCCAAGTCCGGCACGTGGGTGCAGGCACTGACGGGAGAGGTGTGCTGTGGGGTAACCACCTCTGGACATATTGGGGACACATTTTTGGCAGGAGCTGGGTGGGAAAATGCCACAGAAATGGACCGCAGCAGAATTTTTAAAAAAATCCAACCCCGATCAATCACCCCAAAAGGAAACAGAAACATTTCCAGGAACTGTCTCTGCTCATTCAGGGGAGCCAAGGCCAGAACCCCAGTCCTGGCTTCTGGCTATTTAACAGCGATTCCAAGGGGAGACAAGCGATGGGGAGGTATGTGCGGCATCACATCTTTGAGATGGCCTGGGCTAAACTAAAATCAGAAGCAAGGATATGTGGCCCGGCTCCTAGCGACCTTGGCTGGAAGGGGGTTCCAGTAAGTAATGGACTTCCAAGGGTGGGACGAAGCAAAGCAGATGCTTATCACAGTATTCAGCACACGCACCTAAATATCCATCTCCACAGCTCTGCCCAAGGGTAAAGCACTGTTCGCCTTGTGCCTGCTCCAGAGAGGGGACCTCACAAAAAGCCCACGTGAGGAACTGGGCCTAGAAACTATTAAAATCATTCTGAAATATTACTATGAACGAACCAACCCATCCTTCCGAGACAGGTGTCGGAGAGCGGCAGTGCAATCAAGAGACGCCACTACGACAAGACTGGTCCCCGAGGGTTCAGCCACGGCCCTGCCAAATGGATCTGGATGGGCCGGACTGTCTTCAGCCCTTTTGCGGCTGCGCGGCTGGACAAGAGTCAATTTGCAATTCACAGTTCTGCCGAGACGCAGAAATGTTTTCATTCCTAATTAGGAAAGGATCCTGCCGAGACATTCCAAGTGTGGAGACAAACCCACGCTCTCTGCCCTCCGGGGCTCATCACTCCATGTCTTCTGTGCTGGGTTATCAATACCGTATGTGCATCCGAACGCCCCGCTTGAAGGGGACATCGCTCTGCAGAGGAGTGCTTGTGTCACTGGGGAAAGCGGGTGGGGGGCAAGCCGTAGGATCTCTCTGAACCAGGAGATCAGGGATCAAGCCTTAATGTCTTTCTGAGCCAGGAGTCCTACAGCTTTCCCCCCACCCCACCCTTTCATTACTCCTGGGTCTTTAAAACACAAGCATCATTGCCTCTGATGTCTATGGGGGTACAAACAAACTCCCCCACATATTCTCAAATCAGCATCAGCTAATTCAATGCCGTTTCACTCCAGGGTGTTTCCACCGAGTTCAGCAAAGTTACTTTGGATCTGTCTTAGCACGAGTGCAGGGAACCCAAGCCCACTATCTGCACGGGTACCTTCATGTGCACTGGTAGGAGGCTGCACTGTGATGTGCGCCTTTGTAAGTAAACACGTTCCCCTTTTTTTGCCCCTGTTAAGGGGGATGGACACCTGACTGGAAACAGTCCCTGTGAAAGGATCTCCCTTCAAAGGCCCTACAGGAGAACAGAGCTTGGCTGGCTTGCTTGCTTGCTTGCGTGGTTTTAAAGGCCTTTACAGGGTTTTAAATTGCGTAAGTGTGGAATGAGGAAGGAGTCTTAAACATGAAAACAGGCACATGGAGAACACGAGTCAGCCATGCTCTGGAGGGAGCCATGGGGGGGCTGCTCCCACCAGCCGGTGAGAGAAAGCGTTAACCCCTTTGGAAACTGGATCTACTCTGTGAGACTGTGACGTGCCAAAAACAATACACGCAAGACTCTGGCCCAGCCAGGAGCTGAACCTTCGTCTGCCAACTCCTAGGTTCAGCTCCTGGCTCGTACAGTTCAGTCCCAGGAGCTGAGCCTTCATGTGCTTCCCCACCAGACAGTCCTTCCTGCCCAAGCGCTGCAGACATGTCACCGGCAGCTCTCTCAAGATCTTAGCTATGCCTGGCACGTATGACTTCCAGTTTCTTCCTGCCTGGCTTCAGGTAACAGAAGCGAGAGGGCCCAGGCACATTGCTAATTTACATCATCCTGTTCGCAGGGACAGATCCCAAGGCCACCTCAGAGACGGCGTGAATGGGATGATCTTCATCTTACAGGATGGCTTACTTCTGAATGCTGCCTGGGAAGTCATCAGTGCCCTCAAGTTCTGGATTCAGAGGTATTTTCTAGAGCAGGGCTGTCACCCTCACTGAACCTTGATAAGTGGCATGGGACCAGATCGGGTCCGCAGACCAGCTCCGCGCGCCAGATCTAGCACGTGGCCTGGGATGCCACATACAGCACATGCTCCAGATAGACTGCAAACATCGGTCCAGGGCATGCAGCGTGCGGGTCCGGTCCAAGATGCAAGCAGCACTGCAGGCCAGATGGCAGCTCCACAAGCCAGCTGCATCTCCGGCACCCCTGCCCTCGAGCGACTGTTTCAGTAGGCAGCCAAGCTTTTACGCAGGAATCCCCATTGCCTTCTGGCTGCAGAGAAATTTCTTTCTGTTAGGAAATCACCAACCTAGCGGTGGTAAAGTTATACAGGACTTTTGAGAGGTGTTTTGCTGAGCTGAACTGGCGGCCTTTCAGACACACAGGAAACGTAGTTTTTCCTATCTCTGTTTCAGGAACAAAGCTTTATGTCTGCATCACCCATAAGGGAACGTGAAGAGTTTGGCACCATCATCCCAATACCCTGTCAGCTCTTTCCTTCCCAGTGAGATCACTGTACTAAAAACTACTTGACAAGAGAAGGCTCTCAGCACGACACCATGAACAGGGTTATTCTTGGACGCCTGTCATGAGAAGATAGGCAAGAGAGCAGGCTCCAGGACTAAACGTGTTTATGGCCCTCTTTCCAAGGGCTGAAGTGGTTGCAAAAATCTTTGCTGCAGGTTTACATTCCTGAGATGCTGGGACAAGTGCCGGCACCTCTCTACCCCACTCCTCAGCAGCTAGCACAGGCAACGGGGGCCTGACTCTGCCCACAATGAAGTGGTTGGGAATGTAGCCATCTGCTTCTGTGGCAGCTGGATTGGCTCTTTAGCTTTGGAAGTGATATTCCAGATACAAGTGAAAACGATGAAAACTGCAGCCTGCAAGACTCTTTAAGGAAAGGACAAAACGCCGTGTCAAAAAGTAAATGAGGAGATTGTCACTGGTAACACTCTGGATGACCTTCCTCCCCCCAAAAAGCTGTGCCCATACAGACCCCGATCTGGCAAGCTTTTCTCACGTAACACCACTGGAATCAACGCCTTTGCATTTTGCCAAAAAGAACAAATGAAACATTTCTGCGATGAACGAGAGACCGAGTTCAACTATTCCTGTTCAACGGTCCAGCACTGGGAGGGCTTCATTTTTTTAACTCTTCCCAGGAAACCCGATCTGGGATTTGGTTATCGTTGTGCTGTCAGGGAAGGGGTAGCTACTGAGGAAGAGAGATGTCCAAATCTCATTTCTACCAGATTGATGCACTTCCTCCCACCAGCCAAGAGAGCTATGATATAATCCGAGTCCGTCCTTCCAACAGAGCCCGATTACGTTTTTTTCTTTTCCAAGCCTCTTCCTTTCTGCAGGAGCAGAGCTATTCAGTCATTTTAAAGCAAAAAGAGACGAACCTGCTTTCTCTCCTTTGTGCTGACAGAGGGAAGCCGGAGCTGATCAACACCTTCGCTGCTGAAGCACAGGAAAACGTGGTGCAACAGCAGCAAAATTCCCACTTAAAAATGGAGCTGCTCAAGCACAGAGGTGATAAACCGGTATCACCTGCAACAGGGAGCCCACCATCATTCTGGCTATGATCTGGAGTGCTAGCCATTGTTTTAAGTCCCAAATCACCAAAGCTCCAATTTAAAATATTTTTAGAACTTATTTTTTATTGTTAGACACCCTGAAGCTTTTTTGGGGAGCAACTAACCAACCAACCTACATAAATTAAGTCTGGGAGTAACCAGAGGGCTTGGGAAGAGAAACAGGCTTTTTACAATTAAAAAGCTGAAAGGCATGGTAAGCCAACTGAAACGTCCCCAAAATTAAATTCTTGGAGATGTGTGGGAAATTACACTGCAGCAGGAATTTAGAAAGCAACACAGACCTCAACACGATTAGTGGAAGATAAGGTGAGAGAGGCATCATCATTCAGGCTTAGCTACCCATAAGAGTAACGCCGCTCTGTTATAATACATCAGACACTTGCGCCCAGTATTTCCAGTTCAGCAGAGTGCCTTCATGTGACTCCGTAATGGGAATGAGGCTGGTTCCGGCCTTCCAGCAGCCCATTTGGCACAGCCCACGTATAAGTGACTAGCGCACTTCCTGCAGGGGCTGGGAAGGCTGGGATAAACCCAGAGCTGAACTGATGAACATGGTGACTAGGCTCACTCAGTGACTATGCAAGCATGCCAGCCACCTGGACTGGCTAGCAAGTTTATCACGGTGACCCAAGAAGGCCCTGGCTGATATCCAGCAGGGAGCAAGTGATATATGTGAAGCACAAGAGCTGGAGAGTGCGTGCATGCTTTGTTGAGGAAATATGGCTACAAACCCGACCTTCCAGAGGAGACCCACAGTTGGTGGCTGAGCGGACAGGGAAGACTCACCTCTCTTGCAGGTCATGGAGACTTTGCTCTGCGCTCTGAAGTCCCTCTAGGTCTTTCATCATCTTCTTCATGTGCTCCTTTGAGTAGCGATTCTGGATGAAGGCAAACCAGCATCCACCCACTCCAATGACGATGGAAATCACCAGCAAGAAATCCTTTAGGTGGTTGTGACGAGTTACTGGTGGAGAGGGGAGAGAAAAAAAAAAAGTAACAGGATATTGTTTAATTCCAAGAGGGAAAGATGGAGATCTTCTTTTCAATTGCTTCTTTGCACAACGGGAGAAGGGAGAGGTAATTAAAAACAGCGTAAGAACGAACCGTGGCTCTAGAAACTTGGAAATCAGGGAGGACTGAGATCAATCCACACGTATGAGCCTCTTGAAACTAGCAGACAACTGCTACCTACCCTAAACAGATGAGTCCAAAGCAATGCCAGATATGAAGGTGAAATCCCACTAGACTCTCTGACTACATGTCCAGTGATCATGATGATGGCAGGATGCAAAACTCTTTAATTTAATGGAGGATAACCCAGCAACATGAAAGACTCTACATACATATCCATATGCAAAAATCAACAAAACAGCTGTTCTCCTCTGAGGAAAAACAGATTATAAATCATGAGAAAGGCGGGGAGAAAATATTTTCTGCTAAGATCTGGATATGAAACAAACTTCCGCAGGGTTTTAGAAAATCCAGTTTCTGCCTTGAAACGCTCAAAGCACTCCGTGACAAGGAGCTGTACGCAATTTTAAGATAGATAAAGAGGTCTTCGTTAGATCGGACACTAATTCACCAGCTCTTAGCTGGATCCTAGAGAGCTTCAACCTTTGCTACGTGAGCACAGATCATCATCACAGTGCAGCATCCAACCACACACAGGGTCAGGGGCTGCTTTCATACACATTTTAAAAAGATCCTAGAGAGATTCTTGTGCGGGTTTCCAGAGACAGGGATTTTAGACTTTGATTAAATGGGGTGAGGCGACCACCCAGCATTATTTCAGCTTCCTGTTGTGCCCGTGCGTTCACTACTTTTTGGCACTTCAGAGCAATCTGTACCGAGACATCCGAAAGGAAAGGGAAAGATTTGGGGAAGTTCGCTGCTGATAACCATTGCTTTTCTTTCCTCACCACAACAACAGATCAGTCCTGTCCATACTGATCCAGTTTTGCTGTCTGGATGACCGAGTAGCATGAGTCAGACATCACATCACAGGGGAACCGGGGATCAGGGCTACCTGAACAAGACTCTCCTTTCCCCTCTGTTGGCTCTGTTACTATGTGTATGAGGGATGTGCAGTCAAATCCTACTATAAGGGCACTGAGGGTTTTCTACCAGCAAAACAAACCAAAGAGCCTGGGACCAGGACTTCTGCAAGAGACCAAGCAAGGACTCTAGTGCCCCAAACAGTGCAGGGGAGCAGCAGAAGTCCCTCATTTGAGGGATGCAGGCACTGTTCCCTTTGTGTCCCTGGGCTATAAGATACCTCGAATGAAGCCAAGAAAAGGCAGGAGGACCATGCCCCCGTCTCCTCAAAACAGCAACAAGCTACGTTCTGTGGTCACGGTCGGCCGAGTTGTACGAGCGGAAGGTTACAAATCTCTTCTTAAAAGCTTGGTTAGGAAAGAAGACGCGGATAAAAGAAGAGGGGAGTCATCTGTACTAACACCAGCACTCCCTGTTGTAGATTTATGGATAATTCAGAACTGCAGGATCTTGAATGACTATGGACAAATGTACTAACAAAGTGGAGGGGGAGAGGTGTCAAAGACCACTGAATGCAACCGAAGTAGTAATCCATCCTGTCCCCGAAAGCTTGTCTAATTCAGAGAAGACGTTTTCCTCTGTTGTGGCGGCCCTGACTTTAAGAGACATATACAGTTTCTCAAAGGCCGTAAACATGGTCAAGTCCCACACACCCATTAGTAGCTAACGACGCCAAAACCCCTAAAAATTAGAGAAGGAAAATTATCCAACCCAAAGGGACCCCCCCCAAGACAAGCCAATCCTATTCTGGACCGATCACGATGAATAAAGGTCAATTAATCACTACACAGAAAGCTGATAGTTGCTTAGAAACTAATGACCGTGGGTGATGACTTTTCATATAGGCAAATAAAGGATGGTCTGAGCCAACAGTATATATAAACACTTGGTGTTTCTAAAAGATTAATTTCCTCGAACTGAGAAAAACCATATGCAAAACCTGACCATGGAAAAAAAATAAGACAGGCAAACGTGACTTACACCTGGGAGTTCTTTGCAAAGATGTGGCCAAAACCAACCACTCCCCAATCCAGCAAAACGACAAGTTTGGTTACAACCCGTCCTGGTTCAACGGCAAACTGAAGGCAGGAATCCTACTTTTAAAAAAAGCAACATGCAACAAACACAAAAAAGGAAACTAAACAGCAATTTCCTGGAGCTCCTAACTTCTAAGTTATACCATTTTCTAAGAAAAGCTAAAGATATCATGGGAAAAGTATCTGGGGTTGGCAGAGCTAAGGACAATCAAGAATTTGGGGGTTTTAGTCATTCACTTATTTGATGCATATTTGGGACAAAAAAGAAAATCCTGGCAGTAGTGCAGGCCCATTACCAGACAGGGCTTGTAATTATGTATGATCATTGTAATTGTATAGGAAAGGGAAAAGTATTCAGTAAATATGTCTGTTCCTGCTTTTTTTTCTTCTTCCAGATGCAGATCGTAGGGTTGTATCACATGAGGATAAGATATATGTTCCAACCCATTATTAAGCAAGGAGAACCTCTTCTTCTTCTCATGCTAGGCCTTCCCAGTTAATAGACTTTCCAGCATCAGACACAGCGTGGCCTGGGCCATAGTCCTGGAGAGGACTTCTGGGGTGCCCTGTTCCTCCAGGAGCTGGCGGACCCACAAATGTGGGGGGCTAGTTGGGGCTGGTCCTGCTTGGAGCAGGGGGTTGGACAAGATGCAACCTCCTGAGGTCCCTTCAACCCTCATTTTCTATGACATCTTCGCGTCTCTCTGTGTGAAGCCTATTGACGGCACCAAGCGGAAAGCAAAAGAAACATCCCGGAGAGCAGGAATTCAGAGGAGCATCTCGCTTCACCTAAAGCAGTGAGATTCCTCTGAGAAATCTCTGCAACTTCACCACCCTGGAGAGCACAATTATCACAGTTGGATGGGTCAAAAATTGGCTGATGGCACCCAGAGAGTGGTGGTGGACGGGTCCTACTTGACCTGGAGAGATGTGAGCAGTGGGGTCCGCCAGGGCTCAGTCCGGGGGCCTACACTGTTCAACATCTTCATCAGCAACTTGGACGAGGGGGTGGAAAACACGTTGTCCAAGTCTGCCGATGACACCAAGATGTGGTGAGAGGTAGGTACACTCAAAGGGAGAGAGAGGCTGCAATTAGACTTAGACTACAGAAGTGGGCAGATGGTAATAGGATGGGGTTCAACACAGACAAATGCGGGGTGCTGCACTCAGGGAGAAGGACTCCACAGCATACATACAGGGTGGGGAGCTCCCCCCTTGTGAGCACAGAGGCGGAAAGGGATCTTGGAGTCATTATTGACTCCAAGATGAACATGAGCCGCCAGTGCCAGACCGCAGCCAGCAAAGCCAACCGCACCTTGTCATGCATCCACAGATGCATCTCAAGCCGGTCCAAAGAGGTGATACTCCCCCTCTACGTGACATTGGTCCAGCCACAACTGGAGTACTGCGTCCCGTTCTGGGCACCACACTTTAAGAAGGATGTGGCCGGTCTTGGGAGGGTTCACAGGAGGGCCACCCGCTTGCTTGGAGGGCAACAGGGCAGGCCCTATGAGGAGAGGCTGAGGGACCTGAACCTGTTCAGCCTCAGCAAGCGGAGGCCAAAGGGGTATTTGGTGGCTGCCTACAAACTTGTTAGGGGAGATCAGCAACAAATAGGAAGAGCCCTTTTCTCCCCAGCAGCACCTGGGGGTGACAAGGAACAATGGCCAGAAGCTGCTGGAGAATAGGTTCAGGTTAGAGACTAGGAAGCACTATTTCATCGTTAGGGTGGCTAGGATCTGGAACCAACTGCCTAGGAAAGTGGTCCTTGCTCCTACCTTGGATAAATTCAAAAGGAGGTTGGATGAACGCCTGTCTGGGGTCGTGTGATCCCTGCATGTGCTCCAACCAGTGGGGGGGGGTCAGACTAGATGATCTATTCAGGTCCCTTCTGACCCCTAACTACTATGAAACCTCTGAGAAGGCAGTTTCCAAAGTACCTAGAGCAATCATATCAGTTCTGGATTCAGAGATTTACGGTGGCAGGGATCCAAAGAGCCATAAGTGGGCTGCACACAAGGAAAGGTCTGTTCTTAGAGGGATTAGCAATCAGGTTCTGCAATGTGTTCACGCCATTACCTTACACAGAACTAGACAAAGCAGGGGTCACTTCTTCTGGCTTAGATGATGCCCTCTGCTCTTCCTCCCCATTGAAAGAAATCCTCACCTCAAATGTAAGAAAAGCAGAGACTCCCAAAGCAGTGCTTGCTTTCCCAGTACATATGTTGGACTATATACCCATTGGTCACTCAGGTAGGCTGGGAACAGGAAGAGGTGCAATCTCGCTTGCTGTGGTCCAATACATCTAAATATTTATTGGAAATAGCTGCTTAAACATGCGGTAGGCCTTTTCAAGTAAGCATGCAACTCTCTGCAAGCACAGTATGTGGGAAAGATGAAGCCGGTATTTATGAGATGGGAATTTAAACGTTACGGATCTGATTGCCAGGCCCATACATTAAGGTGTGCCTAGAAGAAAAAAAAAAAAAAAAGAAAAGAGAAACTCTCTAGTCTGGAGAAGAGAAGACTAAGGAGGGATGTGATAACAGTCTTTGAAGACATGAAAGATGATTACAGAGAGGATGAAGATGGGCTTTTCTCTGTGGCTGCAGGGGACAGGACTAGGAGCAAAAGCTCTAGACTGCAACAGAGGAAATTTAGACTGGAGACGAGGAAGAACGCTGAGGGCAGTCAAGCATTGAAACAGGCTGCCTGGAGAGGCTGGGGAATCGCTATCCCTGGACACATTTCAAGAGTAAGTTGGGCAGACACGTGGCTGAAATGGTTTAGTTGGGGACTACTCTGTCCTGAACAGGGGGCTGACTAGACAACCTCTGCAGGTCCCTTCCAACCCTATGATCCAGCTAATGTA